ACAACGCCACCATTTCCACAACTTTGTAGCTTCTTAAGTTTGAGATAATTTAATTGATCATTTAGTTAACATTTTAGTTGATCATCACTTAGGGCCCTGGTTCAAAGAAGAACATGTTTACGGACTTGCCTTTTTCCCGAGAACCAGATAAATGTGTTCAGGTTCTAGCCCGAATAAGGACGCTTTCCTAAATTGGGACATGGATGGGTCCTGGGAAGTAAATATATCCCCTTACTGGTCTTCACATTTTATTTGCTACCAAGTAGCTAATTGGATTTAGGGAAGTCCATTTTTGGCCCTCATAAAATCAGGAGTCCTTGGTCTGATTTAATTTAGACTTTATAGGAAAATACTACCTTTGCTCCATACCAAACCTTCCAGTTTTGAGCCTGACAGGCCATTGCTTGTAGACTTTGAAAGGCCCAGCGGAGACAAAAACAGATGAATAACGGAAACTCAGCTGCTGTTGCTACTCCATAATTCACCAAGCAGAAACGATGTGCCGTTGTAAATATGGCCCGTATCAAGGAAAGAACACGAAGGTTGTAATTGGAGATCCTGCCCCTGTCAAGTGGACTGTAATAGTTACTACCACATTGTTAATCGAGTTTTGCATCCTCTCACCCCTTCACCTCTGTTTCATTTCATTAGTAATAAGGTTAATTTTTAGGTTCACGTTGGCTACACTGTGAACAGAAGATGTCCCAGTTAATTCAGGGAAAAGGGAGGGGGGGGGGAAAGCTAAATCAAGGGACCTGTGGACATTAAAAAGACAGAAAGTGGGAGGAAGCAAGCAAAAAAAAAAAATGAATACCAAAGGAAAGCGGAAGCTGATAAAGGTAAGAAGAGAAAAAAAAACCTTCTTCTATTCCCTGGTAAAGGTGAAAGCTGTTAATTTGGTTCTAGTGTCAGGCAGGCTGCTTTGTTTGCCAATGAGTTTAATTACCAAGGCCACTCTGGGCAGGAACAAAGCAGAGTTATCAAGTCTGAAATGTTAACAGCATGATTGGTTTGAAGTACCCAAGGGCTACTTGACCACTGTTACATCTGGTCTGAAGTACTTTGGGATTCTTGGACTGAATGGCAGGAGCAGACATGTTATTTCCAAGTTAAGTGCTTCATACAAGGAACTCTGCTACATGCAGCTCTAATGTACGGCAAGCCCATAAGGGGACGGGGACCTTTCAAGGAAGTGAGCCAGATCTAATCACTTCTGATATACAAGACAGTCTATTTAGCTGCATCATTCAACCACCCTTTCCAGCATAAAAATACTAACGTCCTATGGAAAAGTCATGGTGGGTCTGTCTACACAGTGCACGGTAATGTTGAGACATGCTACGGCATCTCAGGACGTGCTAGTTCCAGGACTGGAACCAGCACAGCTATGTCTATATGGTGCCACACGCCATCAAATTGCTTCTCAGAGCTGTGGTCCCTTGCAGTAAAGCCTATTAGTCTGTGCACAGCACCCATGAAGGAGCTCTGCTACTTCTGGTTCTGGAGCTAGTGCATGAAGATCTAACCCGGAGCATCTCTGCACAGTGCTGCTTTGTGTTGTATAGACATACTCCACCATCCCATGGATTTCACACAATTTTGTGAAATGCGAGCCTTGGGGGGCCTCAGGCTTATATGTTTTAAGCCAAAATGGTTCAAAGGTAGGGAAAAAAATGCTGTTATAGTGCCCAAATCATATGCTGTTTCACCTGCCTCAGTGCTTTGGAGCGGGGATTTGAATATTTGGCCAAGAAGCAGCTCATTGAACTTGCTCAAACCTCTTTCAGCTCCCACCATTGGCTAGACAACCCATGTGCCAGGGCATCTGAGCAGGCTGCAACCCAGGGTTACAAGGGTTAGATTGGACTTGGCTTGGCCCACCATCAGGGCTGTGTTGGCTTCACTTTTCTCCATGAGAGAAGTGGGTTCAAGCAGGTTAGAGGAAGAAGTTATCTAATGTGAATGCAGAAGGAGCAACACGAGGCTGGGAAAGGGCTAGACTGACCTACAGATTCTTGTGAAACTGGGACTGGGCGTTAGGAGAGAAACTGGGAGTTGGAAGAGACTGGGACTTGGGAGAGACTGAGACTGGGAGTCGCAGGGTGGGGAGAGGACAGGACTAGAAGACGTTAAGTAGGTGCTGAAGGTGGAACTGCGACTAGCAGTGAGGGCAGAGGAGAGGCTGTAATAGGATATATGAGGAACTGGAATTGCAGCTGGTGTGTGGGTGTCCTGCCGTGGGACAGGAAAGAGAAACCTGAAGAGAGTGGATAGAGTACTTTTAATCAGTGCTAGACTCACTTTTAAAGAACTGGAGGTATAAGTCGATGGTTCGCTCCAAAGCCAAGCTCATGAAACGTATGTCAGCTGAAACAAGACTTCTGCCTTCATGCCACTTCTCATGCTGCTTGGCTCTGAGCCTTAGCTTAACTAAATGGATTTTATAGTCTTGATAACTAGAGAAGATTTGTTATTTAAGGCACCAGACCTTAGGTATCCACCTATGTATAAAGTGGATGACACAGCTTTCTCTCACCTACAGCCTAGTGCTCTGCCCTGCTCAGCTTTTCTTGGTGTTGTTGAAGGGACCAGTAGGAGTCTCAAGAGCTAGGATGCTTATTTGCTATAAAAAAAACCCAGCACTAAATACTGGGGAAAATAAAGCAACTGAAGCATCGTAATAATTTTAAAGAGGGCCAGAAATTTCTGGTGCATCTTGATGTTGATATATGCATTTGAATCAGAATGTAATGACCTTTGCTTCTTGTAGCATTTTGTAACTCGGAAAGGCACTAAATTGATCATCATTCTGCTGTTTATGAATCACAAATCCGTAAATCCATGAGAGTCATCAAAAAAGACATAGCAAAACAGAAAAGAGTGCTAGAATATTATGTGCTACCCTATTATAATAAAAAAACCCCTGCACCTGGTTAAAAGATGTAAACTTATTCTTTTGAAAAATTAAATTCTAATGAGAGCGTTCAATGGCATTACGGCTTGGTGCTTCCAAACATAAAATCATGTTTCACAAATAATGAAAGCTCAGCAGTGCTAACCTGAGCAAACGGCAACCCACAGAAACACAAGATGTGCAACAGCTTTGCTTTCATTGCTGTTCTCTCTAGACAGCAAGAATTTGGAGGGTTTTTAATTTTATTTTAAATTTGGCGAGTCAGCCCTGGTTGTTACAATGTCATAGGGAACTGTGAACTGCCAAATTAATAAGAGTTGCATAGACTGAAAGGTCTGTGCCTGAATCATCATTAAGCAAGTGCAAGGTGAGGGACTACAAAGATTTTCAGATTTGTGATACCCCAGGGCTACTTCACTGACACTCCAGTTCATACAAAGAAGGTTAAATCTATCAGTTTGTCAGTAATTATGGGACCCCTGGCATATATCTTTGCTTCTTCTGCTACCCATTATCCCAACACCTGTTGCCTGGCAAAATGTCACCCGCTGATAACTTTATAGACATCATAATGACCTTTGAGCATACAGTTTTGTACTTGTTGAAAATAGGACGTCCTTTTCATCTGCTGAGTGAAGGCTAAGGGGACTGCCTGTTTTGCACCAACTGCCAGGAGCATAGTTGTTTCTTCCTCTGAAGGGCTACCATCAAAACTAATTGGCTTAAAATGATGATCTACTCTATCTCGGTGTTCATTTGCTGACAGGGGTGTCAGCAAATGAACACTTTCATTTGCTGACACCCCTGAGTAGAAACATTTTATCCTTTCTCTCAGGGCCCAACCCAAAATTTCAGTAATGCAGAGTATAGAACCGGGTAAGGCTTTTTTAGCTCTGAATCTCTCTGAACTTTGTGGAGGTTCAGGCTGAGATCAAACCCATATTTTTCAAGCCTCAATGAGAGGGCAGAGACCACGCACTCCTCGCAGCAAAACACGTCTGCAAAAGAGGGGTGGGGGTGGAAAACTAGGCTGGGATTTGACAAGTCACCGTAACCTTAGATAGGAGCATCTGTTCCAATGAGGATGCTGGACTTGATAGCAAAAGCAAGAATTACTACAAAAGAGAGAGAGGTGTAATATTGTTTGGTGCAATAAAGCAACACGGCATCCAAGTAGTTCAGAAGTTGCTAAATTACAATAATAGCCCTTATCAGCTCTATGTAATTGTGAAGCACACAAGAACACCCTCAGACCTTAGTAATGGCACAATAATTAACTGGCTGTCACTAGGCAACCGTCCAGGTTACATTTTTTTTTTAAACACTCAGAGATTGATTTCTGTTTTTATTTCACTACTAAATAATAACACGTGTCAATATTTTCTAATAGATGGTCTCGGAGCCTGCACTGGGCAGCCAAGCCCTGGATGATTATACTTCATCCCTGACAATACAATAATCTAGGGGGGAAAAACACACGCACAAAACATCGTTTCCCATCTGAATCTGGATCATCTGATTGTCATCTGAGACAGAGCAAGGTCAAAGAAATAGGGATTTTTGAAGTACACGATTTCTCTGCACTTTGTGATTATGGAGTTCTTTTTTTTTGCAAGGAGCGATACAAACCAGACACCTGGTTTTATTTTATGCTTCTTTCATTCTCCCATTACTTCAAAGTTTCTTGCACAGCGACAGGTTTTGACCTGTTGCCCCTCCTATAAACAGAGGACCACAGTTTGAAACCTGGTTTAGGAAGTATTTAAACACAGGCCCATGTTTGGGACTACTCATGCACTTCAAAATAGCCCTGTCGCTAACTATCCTGCCAAATTTGGAGCTTAGGACTGCTGCTTCTATGTGGCATCCGGGGTGAGGGGTGAACCCTGGGGATGCCATGAACACGAAGTCAGTTCTTGCTCTCATCGATGTCCATGCCAAAACCCTGTTCAAATAGATCAGGGTCGAGCAGTCGGAGACATCTCCACCAGCAATTGTGCACATGCTTAACACTGAAAGAGGCAGCTTTGGCTGCTGAAGTTGCAAACAGTATTCAGCGTTTGCAGAGTAACAGGCACTTGCTTACCATAGCCAACGGGAGGACTCCTACCAGGTCCTTTTGGCTTACATAGATCTTGGAGACACCTAGGTCAGATGTTGTATCTCCAGGATATTCCACCTGCCATGTGATGAGCTGGGTCCCAGGCAGATCATGTAGGTCTTCAATTTCAAAATCAATCTGCATGATCTCAGAGGACGGACCGTTGGCGCTGGAAGAAAAAGAGAGATACTTTGATTCAGGCGACTGACGTACCGTTATCGTTATGTCTATACTAATAACACGGTGATTTAAGGTCAGAGGAGCTGAGTCCAAAAGGCCCGAGGGCCCTGGGAAGAGGGTGGCAGCTGAAATGCATAAAACTTTCCACATGTCCATCATCATAGCCCCCCGCCCCCAGCAAAAATACAAGTTGGGGCCTATGATTAAGGCTCTACCTGAGATTGGATGTGATACAACATGGGAAAGAGAAAGGATGAATTATTTTCACTTATCAAGATCTCAGGGAGCGGACAGAAAAACAGACTGTAGTAAGTCAAAAGAGATGAGAGAGAGGGACGTGCATCACATCAGCTGCTCCGTGGCAATTGTTTTGTGTGATGGTCTCTTCTGCCACAAACGTAAGCTAAACTGCAGCAGTTTAGAGGTTGTTTCATTCAGAGTTCAGCTGCTGGGGTTTAGCTTCACTTACCATGGCACGCAGCTGACACCCTAACCTTTTAACTCATTGTCATTTATTTATCTGTCCATGCCCTCAGGATACTTTCCATATACTCAGTAGCCCTAATAACACCCTGGATAAAGGAGACAGCTAAGCATTATCTCCTTTTTAGAGATGGGGAAGTTGAAGCATGCAGAGATTAAGGGTTGACGTGAAGTGCGCAGGGTGAGTCAGAGCCGGCAGTGCCTGCCTTTACCGTTCTGCGCTCAAACCATCAGATCATATTTCCCCCTTGTTAGAAGGAAAATGCAAAAGGAATAACCTCGCGCTCTCTCCCGATGTGTGGAACGGTTGCAGATCTGTCCTTTGGAGCAGGTTTCGCCCTGTGAAAAGGGCAGTGTGGACTGGCAGTCCTAGCTCCGCGATGGGAGTCGGGGCTTTTGAAGCCTGTGTCTGGTTTTGCCACCATCTCGTGGCATGACACAGAACAGGCTTTTAAACCTCATTGTGCCGCAGCTGTAAAACTGGAATAATATGATTACTGCTTTCCTTATGGACTGCGTGACGAGGCTGGGTTCATGAATGCCAGCACAGCGTTCTGGGATACAGCGGTGACAGGCACCAGAACAGCACAAAAGAGTTGGTTACTACCCACGATCGTCTTGGATAAACTGGGGTTACTGATATAGCGCCAATATGCAACCATTCAGTTTTCTATCACATCCTTCACGCAGCACGCGTTACAAAAGCCTGCATAGAGCAAGTGAATCACAGCCAAAAACGGACGGCAAAAACTATATATATAAAAAAAGAAGAGATTTAAAGAGGGAAAGTGGGTCAGGGGCTGAAAGGGCTAGATCTTGTAAACCTTGTTATAAAATCAGCTAATGTTTAGGGAGCAATGTAGTTAAAAAAAAATAAAAAAATCTCCGGCTCATCTTGCTGAGGTGAGCTCTATGATTCACTGGCATTTATAGAGAGGTTCAGATGCTTCATCATACACATTGAAGGTACTGAAAAGCTCCCTAGTACTGCAGCAATTCAAGAGAGATTGAGGATGACAGTAATTTTACTCAGCCACTGGAGGGCAAAAGGAAATGTATTCAGTGATCTTCAATGTGGCGGGGGTGGTGTGGGTAAATGTGAGCTGAGTGCAGGGATGAGACCTGAAGGCTGGAGAAGAGGAACGGCACAATTACAAAGGGCTCGCCACTCTCTTGAACAGCCCCACATCAGGTGACGGAGAGAGAAGACGTAGCAAGTGCTGATGGGGAAAAGCCACGAACAAGTTTCAGACCCTCTCAAGATTTTCTTGGCTGCTGCAGAAAAGGAGCTAAAACGAAGTCGTCTCCTTGATCAGAACCGGTTGTGACACGAGTCCCAATTCAGCGCTGCTCCCCAAATGCCCAGGGTTTTTATCATCTCAGCTCTGTCCGATGCCTTTGCCAGAGCCCCTGGTTGAAAGATTTTAATCTGATGACTGTTGAAGGTATGGACTCTAATGGAAGTATTGAGTCCTCGCTGTCACAGACAATACGAAAAGAACTTCTACAACTGTTCTGCGTTCGCAGAATTAATGTCACCGAATGATTTTACATTGTATTCAATTCCTCATCACTTTATGTCCAATGTATGAAAGTGCAGCTTACAAACCAGTATTGAATGCAACATTATTCCACCCTGACCTTCCCGGGATCAGAAAACTGCTTTATACAGCTGCTGCTATTGAAACTCAGTTAGCCTAATTGTATAAACAGGAACAGGCAATGCATTACCCATAAATGCTTGACACTGATCCTGCTTTGTACAATATGTGCTGTCCCTACTACTTCTGTTTAAAGGAGCAAATTTAATCTTTGTACAGTGGCGTCTTGGTTCTGTGCTCTTTATTTCTGGTTGCCTTTCTGCCATCTTTTACTGCAGTGGTGGCTACTGCCGCTAGTCCCTGGCTCTGTAGAGCGAGTGCTGTCAAAAACAGTGTCTCCTGTCAATCACTAACATAAAGCAGGGCTGGGGAGATGGGCACTGCAAAGAAGAAAGTTAGGGGAGCCAAGTGGCAGCTGCAAGAGGAGGATTTAATCATAAAAAAAAAAAATCAATGAAAGCTATTCAAGATATTGAGGTTATTAGAAGACAAAAAGGGAAGATGTGAACGGGACACAGAAAAGCAAAAGAAAGAATGGAAGGAAGAAGGGGAAAGGGAAAAATGAAGGAGAAGAGGGGAAGTGGAGGGCAGGATAATAGAAAAATGAGACAAGTGGGAGATGAAAGAGGGGAGTTCACCTTTCTCTTCCTCCCCCTTTTGCTTCTGTCTTCTTCCTTCATCTCTATGCCCTCCCTCTCTTCCTTTGCCCAAACATTAATTTAGCAAGGTACCTTGCTTTAAATCTTGTGATGAGATATGGGGTAAGAATAGTAAACCATTGTGTTGTACAGCACCCGTCTCATTCAGTATTCACTCAGAGGCAAGGGAGTGAATTCAGTGTCTGAATTCTAAAAAATGATCCTCATTTTCTGGAAGATGAGCCTCTGCCGACCACAACATCCGGTTCCAACTGGCTCACGGCTAGGGCCTCTTAACAGTACCATTTACCAGCCAAACATAATGATGACAACTGGCAATCAAAATTGGCATAACCCATATTTCAAAGACTTACAACCACTCTATTAGCTAAGGCCATGTGTGGACGAAACGATGGGCATGTGTGGCAGATGCTTTAAAGTGTGCTAAATGCTTTCGCACTGCTTTAATGGTGTTGGTGTTTGCACGCCTTGGTGGTGTATTGTGCATTAATTCCAGCCGCTGTAGCAAATTCGGTAGTATAATGCGCCTTAAATGACTTGGGGCTCAGCAAACTAAGGCTCCGAGGAGGAGTTTTAATTTGCTCTCCTACCAGTCATGGAGTGAAGCACTGGGCTCCGTGCAGCTTGGGGGCTCTGCAGGCAGCCCTGCAGGCAGCCTGGCAGCAGCCTGGGAAGGCAGGCTCTGCCCAAGAGAGGAAAAAAAAAAGCCAACGAGCCTGATCTTTTTTTCTCACCCCCTTGAGCCTGCCTGCCTGCCTGAGCTGTGCAGGGGCCCAGTACTTCTCTCCACGGCTGCAGTGCCCCACGGGACCGTCAGAGCTGGGTGCCTGCAGGCAGGTGCCACCTGCGGGGGATCCACTGCTGCTGCAGAGGGAAGCACTAGCCCCCGTCCCACAGCCCAGGGACCGCTTCACCTGCTGGCAGCTCACCCTCCCCTCCTCGGCACCAGAGAGGCAGATAAGTCGAGTGGAACACACACCCTAAAATAACTAGCTGTCTTCAATTAGCTGGAGCACTGTATCCTGCGGGTGTTCCCTGGTGCATCTCCCCCACCACTGCAATGGTTGTCAGGCTGGGGTACGTCTATTAGTTCTGTTTGGGAAGTAATGGGAAGTCCATTAGATCTTGCTAGCACTTGCAAACTCTTCCAAAGTCATATAATCCATTGCAGGTCATACACCTTTTCCCAAACGCTTGGCTTTGTACTGGCTTGCGGTGGTTGCCCCAGCATGTCCTGATTTGCGCGTTGCTGGATTCGGAGTCTGACCTCAGCCTACCTTTCTGCCTCTGGTTTTTCTTTGGGATTTGGGATTTTCTCAGAGCTTCAGTCTGGACTGGGTGATTTCTTCTGGTTGGCAAATTTAATAGCTTTATCAAGTCTTAACTGTAGGTCTCCCTCTGAACTTTCTGTCCCAGGTGCCGGTCCTGACTCAGTCTGTTCCCAGGGACTCAGCCCTCCATAACGGATGCATTGGCCCTTCAGACTCATGTGCATGTTTTCACCTTCTTTTGATACTCTCTGTTTAAAAACATTTTCCATGCATAAGTGGGGTGCAGGACTCCTGATATTTCTTCAGTGAAGTTTCAAAGTCAGCCTCCCCCGATCTGAGCTAAAATGAGAAGTGTAAAAAAAAAAAAAAAGAAAAGAAAAGAAAAGAAAAAAAATCAAGAGCTTTTGTCAGGGATAAAGCTACTTTGTGACATCTTCCCTTTTGCTAGAAGCAAGATTAGAGAGGTGAAATAATATCTTTTGTTGGATCAACTTATATTTGGGAGAGATGTCAGACAAGCTTTGGGGCACAAACTGCCCTTCCTGACATCTGAGATGTTGCTGACTTTCCATCAGCACCCAGCTGCTTGCAGAGAAAGAGAAATGCTGTTGAAATACTTCTCCTGTTGCCCTCCATGTTTCTGGTGAGACTGCTCCGTTCTTCCGCTCAGGGTATTTTCCGACTCTGCTGTACTCCTGTTAATGCATATTATTCAGTTTTCACTTGGAGCCAAGGATGCTGACAGAGGTCTGCTTTGCTGTATTATGCAACATGAGCATTAACAGGCAGCTCCTGTCAGGGTCTCTTAAAAGGTACAGTTCCCCATAGCACCCACAATAGAGCCCAAATGGCTTTTGTTACATTGTAAACTGTATAAAAATCATAATGCAAAATAATGATTATCTTATAAGTCAATACTTCTCAAAATCAGCCCTTTCACTAGGCATCCACA